AGCTTATAGTTGATGGTCTCGGAGTCTGCCTAAAAATCATTCCACAGTGGTGTCCCTGAAGAGTCGTCCTGTGACGCTGTAGGCAGGCAGAGGCCAGCCCTCTCTGCAGTCGGGTCTCTAACCCATGAGGAGGGCTCATTCATAATGCAAAGGGCCAATGCAGAGCTCAGGCACACTCATCGCTCCTGCTGGAGTTTAGCTTGAGATGGAAATGCCTCTGCCCTGGGAGACTCTGCGGAGGCTGGTTCTGGCTGGGGAAGCCTCTGCTGGTCTCACTGTGTGTTGGGAAAAGGGCTGCTGTGTGTTTTGGAGCCTGGCCGGCGGCTTGGTGGCACTCGCTCATACTGCTCGGAAGAGGCCCCCATCCTCAACCAATCATGAATGGTCAAATAAGTCATTTTTATTTATCACTGAATAAAATGTGGTTGCCATTGCATAAATCATAAAGATTGAATCAATGGATATATGCATTCATGTGTACATTTTTACGTGTATTTATTCACGTTGAGGACTTGGGAGAGGAGAAGGGCCCCTGGTGAGAGAGGGGTCAGGCTCAGGGAGGGTGCCACTGTCCCCTCAGTGGTTGGGATCAGAAACTGAGCCTCGGCCTGATGGTGCTCTCTCACTTGGACATCCAAACTCAGCAGCAGGTCCTGTGGGCTCTGCTCCCAACACCTCTGACAGCCAGGAGCTCCTCCCAACCCCCCACCGTCACCTACCCGAGGTCACTGCCTCACCTCTTGCCCTCCTGCATGTAAGTCACTTCAGTCGTGTCCGACTCTTTGCGACCCCATGGGCTGTAGCCCACCAGGCTCCTCTGTCCGTGGGATTCTCCAGGCAAGAATACTGGAGTGGGTTCCATGCCCTCCAAGGGATCTTCCTGACCCAGGGGTCAAACCACATCTCTTATGTCTCCTACATTAGCAGGTGAGCTCTTTCCCACTGAGCCACCAGAGCATAGGGAACCCCCGCCTGGACAGCTGAAATCGGCCCCCTGTGGTGTTCTTGCTTTCCCGCTGCACAAAGCCACTCCACACCGCAGCCTGAGGCATCTTTTAAAAACAGAAATTGGATTATATTCTTCCTTTGCTTTCCCTGCACGAGAACAAAACCTTGAAATCTTTCCTGTGACCTGCCCGACCCAGGGGGCCGCCCCAGGCCACAGCTCTGACTGCCCTGCCCTGAGTCTTGCCCTCACCAGGCTACAGGGGCGGGCAGGGCTCTCCCTGGGTCCGTCAGTGATGCCTCCGAAGGGCTACCTGCCCTGCGTGCCTGCGGAGAGAGCTCCACATGGTGTTTCACTGCCTCCATGCTATTGCTTCCCCTTTGTCCGTGTGAAATCGCACACTAAGAGCAGCCATCTCTCTGACTAGCTCTCAGCATAGCCCCAGGGGTGATGAGGCCTTAGACCATGACTTGGGGGGGACAAGCCCCACCCGATGTGCACCCCAGAACTTGCAGCCTCTGCTGCTCTTTCCCACGTGTAAGGAGAGGTGAGTTTTTCTCCCAGCCCTGGGAGGTAGCCCTTGCTGTGAATGCCTGCCCCTACCCCACCAAGGTTCTGAATCTAATCCTTTCCCACTACGGAAAAAATAGCAAGAAAAACAGATGAGAACTGATACCCTAGGCTGCAGGGTCTGCTGGGACCTGGTCCTGGAGAAACCCCAGGAAAGCTTTAACCCCAGGGCTCCAGGCAGTTGAGAAGGGTGAGGGGAGGAGGAAAGGGGGGCACCTCTTTAGCCAGAAGCTGCCTCCTCCTGTCTCCCAGCTGGGACACTGTCAGAATTCACCTCCTCTCTTGGTGGGTCATCATTGCCCAGATGTGGGTCCTGGGCTAGGCACCCTCTCCTCCAGTCCTCAGGCTGGATGGCAATACCAGAGCTCACCGTGTCTACCCTTCTTCTCCTGGTAGTACTGCCTGTGGACAGGGTGTAGGCATTCTCATTTTAAAGTTTGTAGGAAAGGGATATTCCCAATCTGCTTATCATCCACAACTAAACAACCCATAGTCAACCTGCAGAGTGGTTGTGGGGATTACCTGAGACATGAATGTGAAAGGACTTTATAAATGATACACGTGATGTGAACCATAGAGGTGACAGATTGTGACAGGGGATGCCTGCCTCCATCCTTCCTTCTGCAGCTGCAGCCCCATTTGGCCCTGCTGAGGCTCACCCTAGGGCCCTGCCCCCAACTTGTGACAGCTGTGACAGAGTGCCTTTCTCTTTTGTAGAATGATCTGCACTCCTTTAGTCACACCACAGACTCTCCCAGAACTCCTTTCACCATGGGACACGTGGGAAAGCAATTTGAGCGCATCAGAAACAAATCCTGAGCCAGATGATTGCAGACACATTGGGCAACGTTTGCTGAACATCTAGAGATAGCAGGGTTTCCAAGGTGTGTGTGTTTTCAGGGGCTTTGGAGGGGTAGGAACTCAGGCACAGGAATGTTGGTGGGGTGCTTACAGAGCATTTCACATATATTAACTCATCTAAAGCAGGGCCCACAGTCTCATTTTACAGAGGAAGAATTGACCTAGTAGGTTGCAGACCCGGGACTCAGATATGGATCTCTGACGCCAAAGTATGCACCAGGCTTGCTATTCTGCTGGGGATTCAAGAGGCGGAAATGGGCTTTAGTTACAGCAAGAATGCAAGGATTCAGTTCAGTTCGCTCGCTCAGTCATGTCCAACTCTTTATGACCCCATGGACTGCAGCACTCCAGTCTTCCCTGTCCATCACCAACTCCCAGATCTTGTTCAAATTCATGTCCATTGAGTCTGTGATTCTATCCAGCCATCTCATCCTCTGTCATCTCCTTCCCCTCCCGCCTTCAATCTTTCCCAGCATCAGGGTCTTTTCAAATGGGTCACTTCTTCCCATCAGATGGCCAAAGTGTTGGAGTTTCAGCTTCAGCATCAGTCCTTCCGATGAACACCCAGGACTGATTTCCTTTAGGATGGATTGGTTGGATCTCCTTGCAGTCCAAGGGACTCTCAAGAGTCTTCTCCAACACCACAGTTCATAAGCATCAATTCTTCGGTGCTCAGGTTTCTTTCTAGTGCAAGTTCTTTCTCACATCCGTATGTGACTACTGGAAAAACCATAGCTTCAGATAGGCACAAGCAATCTGGGCAGCTTTCAAGACTCCTTGGAGCTCTGGGGACACAAGAATACAGAGTAGGGGAGGGGTACCACGCTGTGGAGTTGAGTCTTCCAAGGGCCTCAGTCTCCCCACTGGGATGATGAGATTGGAAATGAGGTTCCCAAGGTCCCTTCTAGTGCTCAATTTTTATTTGGGGTGGGGGTGGGTCCAGCTTCTCGCATCCCCCAAATCATTCCCTTTTCCACTGCAGAAAAGTCCTCAAGGAGAGGGGGGCTTTGGTCCAAGATGAGAGAGTCCTTAAATATTGCTGTGGAGGATAAAGCTGCAGATTCTCCAGGCACAGGACAGAAGAAAACGGAGCTAGAAGGAGGCCTCCGCCTTCATACCCATGGGCCTCAGTAGCTGTTAACATGTTCAGAAGGCCACTCCATCCATCTCAGAAGCGGCATTGGAAAATAACAACTGGGCAAGCTGCTGGCCCAGAGCCAGGCAGGCCCCAGCTTTTGGCACTCCCTTCAAGGCCAGTGCGTGGGCCAAGGACATGCCGGCTGCTGGCTGAATTGGTTTAAAGGGAAGCGGGGAGCCCCTCTAGACTGCATCAACCCCTCTAGACTCCTCAACCCTGGGGGCAGCGGTAGAGAGAGGCATGGCCCACGGGCAGCCACATCCATTTTCTGTGCCCTGCTAATGTCTTCATATCTGTGTGTGCTATGGCCTGAAAAGGGCTGGGGGCTCTGCCCCTTAACATGGTCCTGTTTATTTTCTTCAAAGGACATATCACAACCTGTAGTTGTATTATTTATTTCTTACTTTTATGTTTTCTATTTCTTCGCTCAAAATGTGAGCTGCAATAGAGGAAGGGATTCTTTATCTTACTCCCAACACATAGACCAATGCCTGGCACAGAAAGCACTCAAAAAACAAATGAATGCACCCATGCATGCATACCTGAATTGGAGTCCCTTGCATGCAGTCCTCAGTGACCATCAGTTTTCTTTCTTGAGAATATTTCCCAATTAGTTTGGGGGAGGAGAGCTTGTTCTTTTTTGTTGTTGTTGTTTTTTGACTGTTGAGGTTTTTTTTTTTTTTCATTTATTTTTATTAGTTGGAGGCTAATTACTTCACAACATTGCAGTGGGTTTTGTCATACATTGACATGGATCAGCCATGGAGTTACATGTATTCCCCACCCTGAACGCGCCCGATCTCATCTGATCTCGGAAGCTAAGCAGGGTCGGGCCTGGTTAGTACTTGGATGGGAGAGCTGGTTCTTGAGATGAACCCTTCAGGAGATAAGCATTGTACAATGACTGAAAAAGGAGGGGAGGTAAGGATGGAGGTGGGGGAGATGGTACAGAGCCATGGGAGGTGGGTGTGGGGGAGCTTTTTATGATAGTGAGTCAGCTGTTCCAGGGAGAGAGGTGGTTTGTTAATCATTTGTTGTGTGGTCAGTAGGAAGCACAGGATAGCCTGCACCCTCCATGTGGCCTCAGGAAGGACACACCTCGCACATCATTTTCTCAGCTGTCAAACAGGCCCTCATTCTGATGGTGCTTTTCTACCACATGGGGACTGTCATGAAGCAATAAGGTCACTAGTGGCGGTGTGCCAAGTGCATATGAAAAATTTTTACTTTGGCAATTTTAGTAAAACTCCTAAAGGAGTTCATCTGTTATTCTCTTCTAGATTTTTCCCATCCTCAACAGGCGACATGAGCCAATGCATTGCAAGTCCTGGCCTAAATTTTAGATCCCAAAGACTTTGCCTTCTAGCCAAAGACATGCACCTCCCCACTTACTGGGCCCTGGCTGGGCAAGGAGCTCCTCTTAGAGACCCCCGGGGCTGGGTGAACCGAGGAGGGGCCCTCACACTCTGCCCTCCTCTCCCTCAGGTACAAGACAGTGGTGACTCCTCGAAGGGCTGTGGTGGCCATCACTGGCTGCTGGGTTCTCTCCTTTGTGGTGGGCCTGACGCCCATGTTCGGCTGGAACAACCTGAGTGTGGTGGAGCGGGACTGGCTGGCCAATGGCAGCGTGGGCGAGCCTGTGATCGAGTGCCAGTTCGAGAAGGTCATCAGCATGGAGTACATGGTCTACTTCAACTTCTTTGTGTGGGTGCTGCCCCCACTGCTGCTCATGGTCCTCATCTACATGGAGGTCTTCTATCTGATCCGCAAGCAGCTCAACAAGAAGGTGTCGGCCTCCTCTGGAGACCCGCAGAAGTACTATGGGAAGGAGCTGAAGATCGCCAAGTCGCTGGCCCTCATCCTCTTCCTCTTTGCCCTCAGCTGGCTGCCCTTGCACATCCTCAACTGCGTCACCCTCTTCTGCCCTTCCTGTCGCATGCCCAGGATCCTCATATACATCGCCATCTTCCTCTCACACGGCAACTCGGCCATGAACCCCATCGTCTACGCCTTCCGCATCCAGAAGTTTCGAGTGACCTTCCTTAAGATCTGGAATGACCACTTCCGCTGCCAGCCTGCACCCCCTGTTGACGAGGATCCCCCAGCAGAGAGGCCCGATGACTAGACTCCCCCTCCCGCGCCCCCTTGCCCGTGTCTGGGGCGTCTCAGCCCAGGGCTCCCCTCCCTGCTATCCCACTCGTCCCCCTTGTCTCTCCCTGCGGTGGGCTGTGGGCTGTGGTTGTGACGCGCCCCTCACGGTCCTGGGGGAGGTGTGGGAGGTCAGTCCATGGGGAAAGAGCCAGGTAACCTGAGGGAAAGAGGAAAGTGGCTCGTGCTTCCCCATCTGCAAGATCAACCCAAGGCAGCCTGAGCGGGCCTGAGACCCTGAGACTGCCCTGGGACCACATAGGCCAGAAGAGCAAGCTCAACTCCCACAGCAGGCAGGACAGCGGCTTGTTTGACTTAGGTGCTGGGGTTGCAGCCCTGGGACCCAGCTTAAGGAGAGAAGCTCCCTACCAAGACGGAGAGGAGAGAAAGAGAGAAAGAGGATGTCCTGGCCTTGTTTTCTCTCCTGCTCTGTAGGAGAAGGTGGCCAGAGCCACTGACAGGCAGGAATCAAGACGCCTTTAGTCCCCACCTCCCACAACCCTGTGTTCCTGTCCATGATGCTTGCCAGGAGGCCTGCTCTCCTCACCACAGGGATTCCAAGGTTATACTTGTGAGAGGCAGAAAGAACGGGTCCAGAAACAATTTCCAGTATTTGCTTTATTCTCCACTAGCCCTTGGGCCCTGAGTGGGGGCTCCACGCCCCCTGGAGCTAGTGTGGAATGGTAGGTGTGGGTCTCAAACAGCCACAAGGCAGAAGCATTGAGCCCTGATTCTTGCCCTGAGCATCCCAAGTAAGAGAATGAAGTGTCACGGCTTGTCACCTGGGCCACCAGCCCTACCAGTCCTCCGTGCTGGGCACCCTCCTAGGTGACACCCTTCTTTGCTGCTTCTGGGCCAAATAGCGAGGGGAACTCCAGACCTGTCAACTCTTGGGAACATGCTGCCTGCCTGGGGAGGAGGCAAACAAGAGAAGGTGAGCTGCCATGGGCACTGTGGGATGAGTGTGACAGGCTGCTCAGGCCGGAGGAGATTCCCCTCCGGAGTGCGTGGACAGGAAGGTCTTACCAGATTTTAAGTACCCTCAGCACCCCTGGCACTTAGCACTATATTCACGGGCTTTGAGGATTTGTTGCAGAGTCTAGGCCTTCACACTAGACCTTTCGGAAAGGGTCTACTCCTGGCCCAAACCAAAGCTCCCCATACAGAGGAGTGAGGGCCAGGTTCTAAGTGTGAACAGTAGCTCCAGGGCTGATTCCAGGCCCTTCCCTCTCTCAGGTGGGATGTCCCCTGGCTCCCAGGGAGGGTCACTTGACTAATAAAAGACTGTCAGCCCTCATGGAGAATGCACCCCACCACTGAGGGAAACAGACAACCTTAACAGAGAGAAATCAGTGGTGGTGTCTGGGGAGAAATGAAGGGAATGGGAAGGGCATGGAGGCGTTTGGAGCAAGGGTTCCAGAGAAGAGGGTGTCTGTTCCTGTAGTTATCCTCTAAGGGCAGCAAACTCTGAATGTGAAACAAGATCCTAAAAGATCTCATATCTGGAAAACCCCCATGAGATCATGGGTCCCCTCCCATTGAACCTTCCTCATGGTGTCAGAGGTGGAGACTCCCCCATGGGGACATATTCAGCCCACCCTCCTGGGGACACAGTGCCCATCACGCTGACCTCACTGTCACAGAGGCACTGCACCATAACACCAAACACCTTTATTCAAGTGCTTCCGACCCAGCATGTGACTCGGCAGGAGGGCTCCAATCTTCGCACCTTCCAGGGCTCCTAGTGTCTAGGAAGCCTGTCCAGGGGCCTGCTAGGCCCGCTCCCAGTGGAGGGACAGAGGCGAGGCAGGTACCAAGGAGCAAAGCCATCAGCTGTCGCTATGATGTGAAGATCTTGGGCCTCTGAGGCGCTCGACTCTGGGCCTTGTGTCCCTGACCCCTCAGGCCTGCGGCACCTGGCAGAAAACATTTCACGAGCCCCGCTGTCAGACAGAGCTGGGCGACATGCGCCTGCTGAAGAGGTGATATGGGGGAGAAGACCTCCCTTCCCGGCCCCCTTCCCCTCAGGCTTTAGACCCGCGGCCCAGGCTCCAGCTCTGCCCCCGCAATTCTAGGGTACACCCTCACCCTTCAGAACCTCAGATCCACCTGGGAAGGGCAGTCAGGGCACGGTTGTTTCTGCTACTTTTCTGGCTGAGGAAATTACCCCATGGGGATGCCCTGGCCTGAGGCCATTCAGAGTCAGGCCTAGAGCCTGCCTTGTGCCCGTCCCCTGGATGCCCATGCCTTCCAGGCCTTGCCAGCATCACCCTACTGTGCTGGGTCTTCAGAGCACCACCGGGACTGCGCAGGTACCTTTGCCTGTGGCTGCAGATTTATGCTCAGAGCTGACTGCCACCTTCCCTTCTTAAGCCCACCCCTGCCCCAGGCCTCCACCCCCAGAGGCAGGAGAGGGGGTGCAAGCAGTTACTTACCTTTCTCCTCTTCACAGCTTCCACCAGAGGCTCCTCAGTGTGTGGCTGAGGCTGGGACAGACCTGAAGGTTAGAGCTCAGGGAGGGGGCGGGTGACTGCTGGGGACCCAAGTGCAGGGTGGGAGACAGTGAGTCTCACACCCTCACCCCAGTGAGCTGTGTGTCTGCGAGGCAGACTCCAGCCCTCCTTTTCCCGCACTGGGCCATCCTCCCTCTTGGAAAGTCCTCCCAAGAGCCTGACCTCTATCTTTACACCCTCATCTTGCCTTGATTTTCAGTGCTCAGCCTCATCTAGTCCAGAAGGAGAAAACATGGCTTCTCCTGGTCTCCCATGCATCAGAAGATTCCTAAAAAGCAACCTCTCTAGTCCTCACCTTTCACCTCCAGCCGGCAGTCCACAGACGCCTCCCCCAGCACATTGATGGCCTTGCAGGTGTAAACTCCGGAATCAAAGGGGCTGGGTTTCCGGATCTCTAGGGTGCAGACACCTTGCTCAGAGAGAGCTCGGTATTTGGGATTACCCTGGATGTCCATCTTGTTTTTCATCCAGATGATCTTGGGCTGGGGGAGCAAGGTCAGAGAGAGCTGGGAAGGGTGTGGGCCAGGATGAAGCCCCCAAAGGCCACCTTCAGGCTTAGGCAGAGTTATCTGGAAAGACTGCAGCCCCAGTGCCCCTGCCCTCACCTTGGGTGAAGCTCTGACGCTGCAGGAGAGCTGCGTGCTGTAGCCGGGGGTGGAGGTATGGTCGGCCAGGGGCTGAGTGAAGGAGGGCGCTTCTGAGAAGTCTCGCTCAACAAAGCTTTTGGGTTTGGCAACAATATCTGGTTTCGGGAGAAAGAGGGGATGAATTTGAGGTTACAGGAGAAGACATCTTAAGACTGACCTCATCTGTTTTCCTGAAATAATCACTATAGCTTACACTTAGGTATCCCATTTAATCTACACAGCATTCCTTTGGAAGGATACATTTATCACCCCAGCTAACAGATGGAAAATTAAGACCTTTCATGGATGAGGGACTTGCCAATCTCACATAGTGAGTTTGTGGCTTAAGAGGTGGAAGGTCACATGATGATCATGGCTCTTTAAGCAGAGAGCTAGTGGTCTGGAGGAAGATTGAGGGCAGGTGACTATCCATTTCATCCCTGCCTCCACCTCTGGAGCCCCATGGCAGGACCCCAGACTCCTGAGATCTTTGGGAAGCCAGGCACAGCCAACATGCAGGAGCTTAGAGACAGAGTATCTCAGAGAGGCATAGAAAAGCTAAAACGATGGCTGGGTGAGTCACAGAGGGAGGCAGGGAGGGGAGTGATACTGAGGGTGGAGACTAAAAACCCAGCGAGTCCACATTTTATTTCTCTTTGTCTTTGGAGACTTTACTGGCTTTCTATTTTTAAACAAAAGCTTTTTCTTAATTCTGTGCAACTTAGGCTGGTGTTTAAAAGTGTGCTTTCTGCGGCCCACACAGACTATGTGCGGCCCTTAGGCCCAACATCCAGGTGACATGCAAGGTGACAGGGAGAAAGACTGGTAATTTCACATTTGATGCAAGAGGACCATGTGTGTATGTAGAAGCAGTAAATACCCATGTCTCTGTTGTCCATCTATGTGGTGCTATATTAGGGTTGGGAGTTTGCTTTTAGCAAACTCACCAGTCTACCTAACCACACACATTGTCCTTCAGAGTGGTTCTTGGGACACTGTACGTGAGACCCAGTGACTGCTATGATGTTGGCAGCCATGTGGCATCTTTAGTATAAGTGCAGTCTCCCAAGGGGTGCTGCTCATTTGCGTGGTTTACTCTGATGTGTTTGTTACAATCAATCAACCACATCCATTTCTCACAGTCACTCTATTAACGTGTGTGTGTGCGTAGCGGTGGCCTGGGTGTGGAGAAGCAGCAAAAGTTCTGGCAAGTGGACTCCCGTGAGACGTAACACAGGGAGCGGTGCTGACACTCCAAGGGAAGGGAAGAGATGGGCAGAAGCGTCAGCATGGCGATGCCTGGCTTGGTTTCTGGTCTTGGGCCCAGACCCACCTGTCTTTACGATGTGGGCAAGTTCCTTGGTGACGGCTGCTGAGGCGCTGAGCCCACACAGGTTCTCTGAGAAAACTCGGAAGGAGTACGAGTTGCCCACGATGAGGTCGGAGACGGTGCAGGTGGTGGGGTGGTAGCGCTCCAGCACCGTGAACCATTGCTGCAAGAGCCGGCCCCGTCATGCCCACCTCCACACGCCCTCGCCCTCCCTGCGCCCCCAGGGCCTCCTCCTCCGAGGAGCTTGCTCCATGTCCCGTCCCTGGGACTTGGAATGCGGAGAAGTAACTCCTGGGAGAAGGTGATCTCTCTGGGGACCTCAGAGAAGTCTAGAACCTTACTGGTCAAAGTGTGGCCAGATGACCTGCAAAGTAAGCATCACCTGGGACCTTCAGAGAAGTGTAGGATCTCAGTCCTCACCTCAGACCCACTGAATTAAGACCTGCATTTTAGCAAAATTCCCAGGTAATTCACATGTACATTACATTTCCGGAAGCACTGCTTTAGAGCTTGAAGTGCCCCCAGAGAACTGCCCTTGCAGCCTTCAGAAGGAAACTGAAGTCCAGAGATGAAAGAGGTTTGCCAAAACCCACACAGCGAGTCCGGTTGGCAGTGGGCAGGCCAGCAGTTCTTGGTCCCCACACCCTCTGCGGGCAGGCCAGCAGTTCTTGGTCCCCGCACCCTCTGCGGGCAGGCCAGCAGTTCTTGGTCCCCGCACCCTCTGCGGGCAGGCCTTCCCCACCGCTCGGCCGCTTCCTCCCCCACTGCTCCGCCGCTTCCTCCCCCAGCCCTGCCTCCCTGCTCCAGCCGGCCTCACCCCGGTCTTCTCGTCTGCCTTCTGCACTGTATAGCCCAGGAGCTCTGTGTTGCCTGTGTCCTGGGGCGGTGTCCACTCGAGGGCAGCGCTGCAGCTCCAGACATCCAGCAGTCTGATGCTGCTGGGGGCTCCAGGTTTCTCTACAGGACCAGAGAGTGAGGAGGAGGGCTGGGCTCGCGGCAACCCCACCCCCAACACGATCGGGTTCCTATCGCTCTCTCTTGGCCTGTCCCTCTTGACCATCAGTCCTGGGGCAGAAGGAAGCTCAGCCCTTGCCTCCCCTGGTCCCATACCAATCACCAGGATGTTGACGGCTGCCTTGGCCTCCAGGCCTTTCAGCTGCACAGTGAGCTCATAGCAGCCTGAGTCGGAGCGCTGGGCTGAGCGGATGAAGAGGATGGAGTCCTGGTCCCCGGTGCGCACGCTCACCCGCTGGCTGTCCAGGGCATGACCATTGTGGGTCCACAAAACCTGAGGCTTGGGATTCCCCTGGGAGGGAGGAACTCTCTGAGTGGGAGCAAAAGGTGCCAGGCCCCCACTCCCACTGCTCAAGGGTTCTCTGGAGCTGTGCTCAAGGGAGCTGGCCAAACTAGGCTCTAGCAGTGGCTAGAGCCACAGGTGCCTCCTAGAGCCTCACTGTCCAGTTGTCCAGCTGGCCCCGGGGCCACCTGTCCTATTTGCCGGCTGGAGAATCGACTGAGTCATGTGCATCTTGATGGGTGGGTCTCAGCAGACCTCCAAGGGAACCCTGACATTTTCTGGGCTCCTCTGATACACCTCAGGGGGGCCCTGTATTTCCACCCAAGTGCTTAACCTGGGAGGGAGGCATACCCACCTGGAAGGGGATTTGCAGGTTAATCGACTCTCCCACCTGGCGAATGTAGGTCTGACGAAGGTGGCGGGGAACACGGATCTTGGGGGCCTCTGCATTAGAACCGAAGTCTAGGCTTAGTACAGCAGGGCGGCTGCTGAGAGGCTTCTGCAGCAGGGGACTGGACACAGTGAGGCTGCGCCCCGCAGGAGGGCTCCTGGGACTCTCTGAGGCTGCCCCCTTGTGGGCAGGGCAAAGCTCACTTCCAAAATTCAAGGGCCAGAATCCCCTGAGGCCCTTGAGGAGTTGAGAGACAGGAGGTTCCAGGAGGGCAGGGCCTCCACGGTGTGAACTGGTAGGCATCCTAGGCACTCCCTTGGTGCCCCAACCCTGCCAGGCTGGGATTTGTCCTGCAGCCCTGGCATTCCTGGACTCCAGATGGGCCCTGCTGGCTCCCTGGTTCCCCCTGGTGGGGAGCGCGTGTGCACCTGTCGCCTGCGTTCCCAGGAAGGGTGCCCAACTCTGTCTCCTTCCTAATGCCTCTGCCTTCAGAGAGGCCCCTCTGAGACCTATTTGCTCATTGCCCTGTCCCCAAACCAGGTGAGAGGACTGGGGTCTTTCCCTTGCTAAAGGGAGCCAGAGCAGGCACACCCCCTTCCTTCTCTTTTCCCTCCCACTACCTTTCAGTCTGCGGTTGGGAGTTCCTTCCTGACACCTAACTTCCAACCCACGCTCTGGTGGAGAACCACCTTCCCGACCATCACCTCACTGGGTGCAACCACTGGAGCTGCTAGGCGTCCCCGGGGAGCTGGAACAGCCCCGCGGCTCTCTGCCTAGGCAGGCGGGGTGGAGTGGCTGAGGCCCCTCCGTGGCAAGCAGGTGGCCGCAGTCGGTTAGTGGCGTGCAGGGCAGGAAGGGAGGAGACAGTGAGAAGGAACACGGTGTCTCTGAGGATTAGCTGTGCAGGCACTTGGCCCTGGGAGCACCAGGGGTGGAATGTTCCAGAGGCAGCTGCAGGAGGCCAGGAATGCTTGGCAGTCCCAGGTGGCTGAAGAGGGACAGCTGAGCAGCTGAGGACTCTAGACAGGGTCCCCACCCTGCCCTGCCCCTGAGAAGGGCCTGGCTGCTCCCTGTTCACTCACGACCTCCCCCTGCTCTCTTCTCTCCAGGAAATCCCCTTCTTTCTTGCCGGAGGCATTTTAACGGAGTAGTGGGTGCTGAGTCTAGCTGAATCCTCCAGTGTTAGGCCTTGAGGTTGAGGGTCCTGGCCCCTGCAGGTTCTCAGAGCCCAAGCTCCCTGTGCCGTCAGGGAGGGTCCAGGATGCCTGCCAACGCCCCTTTCCCCACCAGGAGGGCTCCCTGCCACTTCCAGGCTAGAATCATACTGAGCTGCCAGGTGGGACCATGTCTCGCCTAGACTCAAAGGATGGACATGTCCTCTGGTTTTGAAATTCACCAGAAAAGATTGCTTGCCACCTGGTGGGACAGGAGTGGTCTTGTGTGGGAGTCAGTTCTGAAACTGCCACTAATAGTCTGGGTGACCTCAAGGGAGTCCTGGGGTGCCTTGGCTTGGATGGACCAGCCGTGACAGTCTATAATTCTGTATTGCTTAGCCCTGTGGTTCCCACATCTCTCAGGCCTTAAAGGTGAAAGTATTCCCTTGAATCCAAACTTGACTCCCTTTTGCGGCCATGAAGTCCCTCTTTCTGGAGGCCTTGTCCAGAGCTGCGGGGTGCCCCTCTGCCTCTAGGAGATAGGAGGGCAGGACAAGCAGGAAGGTGGAGGAGGCCTCGGGCCACCTGCTGGCCCATGTCTCTTGTCACTCTGGGGCTCTGGGCTGTCCCCAGAGATCTTGGATCAGACCAAATGACTCACTGCCATTAACAGACTGAAACCTGATCAGCCCTGGGAGGGGAGCAAGGGTAGGCTTGAGGCTAATGCACCCTACAAATAGAAATCTTAGCAAGGAGACAGCAGCTGGGCTCCCAGGTTTCCACTTCAGCACTGGCTTCTGGGGATGGAGAAACTTTCACAGGTCTTTTGCAGGGTGTTCATCTTCTTTCCACTAGGGACGTGGTTCAGTAAGAGGCAAACAAAGACTTTTCTCTGTTCCAGAACCTTTGGGAGAATCTGGAACCCAGGTCATAGGAAATGAGCAGAAAATGAGCTTCTATGGCTGCTGAAGGGATTATGATTAGATAGGAAGAATTAAATGACTCTAAGTGTTGGGACTCTGAGGCAGATGACCGGGGCAGCGTGAGCTTTTGTTTCTGGGAGTCGTGAAGCCCTTCCTCCAATGCTTGTGAGCTGGACCACCCAGAAAATTGGCCTCTTTGACCTCCAGACACTCCTTGCTGCTGAGGAACCTGGAACTTTCTTAAGGCAAGATGGCACTAGCAGGTGGCTTGTGCACGTGAGTGTGGGGAAGCGACTCTACCCCTCGGTCTCCTTTCCTCCGTCCATTAGCTAAGGTGCTTGGGAAGGGCTGGGGAGCAGGGATTGGCTTTACCGATGGTCTCCTGGATGTGGACAAGCTGCTCCAGCACCGCTGGTGGGCCAGCCCCTGCAGAGCTCACTGCAGCCACGCGCACGAAGAACTTGTCACCTACAGCCAGGTTCCGCACAGTCAGCTGGGTCACCATCATGGGCCGGACATTCACAGGCACCCAGTCCAAGGCTGAGAGGAATGAAGACAGTACAAGGCCCTGGCCCCATGGCCGCGGGCACCCTTTCTCAGTGGAGCTTCCCTTCTCACTGATGGTCTGAGGAAGCTGGCCTCCCTTTCCAGGCCTTATTTTCCTTTTGCTCTCCCTCCCTGACTTCTCATGTGTCAAATGGCATCAGAGACACCTTGTGTCAGAACCCTTGAATGGTGGCCAGAGATGGGGTTGCTGAAGCCCAGAGAGGCTTGGACACATTCGCCAAGTCACACAGCAAGGCGGGGCCAAAGGCAGGAGCCAGCCTGAACTTGCCTGCTGCGGAAGTGGACAAGACGGCAGCGGACGAGGTGGCGGCATCAGGAGTTTGGCCACAGCCTGGCTCTTTTTCCTCACTATCTCTTGTTCTAACTTAGCCCTCTCCCTCAGCTTCTCTACAAGCAGGGTCCTCTGAGACTCAGCACCTTCTTAGTTCCTACAGAGGAGAACCCCAGTGTCACCGACCCTTTTATTCTCGTTACACAGAGGCTTCCTGGAGCTGGAGGACAAGGCACCTGCTGAGGTCCCTTGATACCCTCCTGCTTTCAGAGGTGTGTAGGTGAGCAAGACGCTGTCTGTGAGGCTTAAGCAGACTGCCTCCACTCCCTCTCTGCGTCTCCCTCTGGAGGGCTTGTCCCTACTGCCCCCCAGGCCCACCTCCCCTCCGTATATGAGGGCTTAGCCCGGAGCTCACCTCCCTCTCGACGGAGTTCCAGTACATAGCCCTGGAGCCCCAGCCTCCCCAGGCTCTCTGGAGGCTCCCAGCTCACAGTCACAGAGCTGTCACTCACATCCTCCACGGCCAGCAGCAGCGGGGCACTGGGTACATCTGAGGGAAAAGCAGGGGCAGGGGTGGTGGTGAAGGGGCTTGCAGCCGAGACCTCGCCCCCCCACCGCTCCCTGGCATGACTGCCTCCCCCCTCCACCCGCCCCAGCTCTCATCACCTTCACGTGGAAGTGCAGGGTCAGTGGCTGTGGGGTCTGCGGGGGCTGCAGAGGCTGCGGGGTCAGGAGGCTGAGGGGCAGACTCCTGTGGTTCAGAAGCCCGCTCTCCCCCGGGAGCCTGCTTCCCGCCAGGAGCCTGCGGAGCTGCCGTGTCTCCAGAGGGCCCTGTGGGGGGCACATGTGCAGATTCAGAGGCGGTCTCCTCCAGACCACAGGCAGGGGCCTCCGAGGTGGCTTGTTCTGTCATTGCAGTGCCTGCTGGAGGGTCAAGCTGGAGTGTGCAGGTATTAGCACTGGAGGAGCTGAGCTTCCAGGGTGCCCGGGACTACCTAGGTCCAGTCTTATATAGTCAGGGGGCTGCCCCACCCCCAAGCAAATGTTCCCAGCTGTGGGGTCAGGTCAGGCAGGGGGACTGAAGGGAGAGGGAGGCGCCTAGGCCAGGAATAGCTCTGGGGGAGGAACTGCAAGGGTCCCTTGAGGAGCGCACAACCTTGTCCATCATCCCGACTGAATCTTAGAGACAGGGTTCTTGTGCCCAGATGGGAGGAGGGCACAGATCAGTGAGATGGGATGTTGCCAGGAGCCTGTGCCAAGGGTCAGGGCATTGGAAACAAGAGCTTCCATCTGGATAATGAACCCAGATCAGGCTGTGTGTGTTTGGCCTCTGTGGGGCCACTGGTGCTCAGGGCTTCTCACTTGGGTGCACACAGCCTGAAGCAGCCTTCTCTTAGAGCACTCCCAACTTTGTTCCTGGGGTCGCACACTCCCCCTAGTCCTCACATTCCTTGGGAATTCTCATTTGGGCTGTATGAGGCTGAGGGCCTAGAGAAGGAGGGAACTGAGATGCCCAAAGTGGGCTGGATTGCAGGAAGTCTCCTAGCAATGGGACCCCAGAAAGGGAGTCCAAGGCCCCAGGTTACCCAGCCTCTCAAATTCCTGCTCTGGACCTCAGTTTCCTCATCTGTTACAGAGGGCACTATGACAGTCCCCTAGTCCTTGGGGTTAAATCAAGTCATAAGACAGATCTGGAAGAGATCTTGGAGGAGGACAGCACTCGGAGACTTCTAGAGTCCTCGAAGCAGAACATGGCTTGGACATTTGCATGCCATGGGGGAAATGAGGCAGGAGTGGCCAAATTTCTAGTCATTGAGTTATTCATCCAATAAAACATTAAGATTTGTTGCTGGCGGGAGTGTAGATGGGAGCAATCTCTGAAAAAAGTGAGATGGTATCTAGTCAAACTGAAAATGTGTGACCCAGCAGTTGGTCCCGGAAACATGCATGTAAACATTCACAGCAACATTGTTTATAACATTAAACCTGGAGAACACAGCTCTGCCTCAACAGAGGAATGCATAAATAAGTGGTGTGTATGTGTACCTATAAACCAAAAATGGAATAAAATGAGCAAACTTCAGCTACACGGTTGGTCTAACAGATATAACGGGGAGCCAAAGAAGCTGGGCACAGAGAGTGATGTGACCCCACTCATACTCAATTCAAACACGGGCAGCAACAGCTCTCTTCTTCAAGGGGCATCTCTAGGAGATGAGACCACAAAAGAAGGCAAGGAAGATTAGGATAATGCTTGCCTCTGGGTGGAGGGACAGAGATATGGAGTTTCAGAGGCACAAATGAGGTCTTGTTTCCTGTCCTTGGGTAGTAGTTATACAGGCTTTCACTATATAGTAATTCTTTAAATTAAAAAAAAAAATACATTTTGTGTGCTCTTCAGCATGTATGATATATCCTACCATTTTAAAAACAATGCCTGTGTAATTTATTTCAAGCCATCAGTCGCATTCACACTCTGCCCCTTCCCCAGGGCTGGGGGCACAGGAATGTGGCCACGTCCCACGGTGGCTGTCCTTGTTGGGAAGGGCAGTGGAGGGCCTCAGGAGCCTCTTGATCCTGCCCTGCTCGGGTGCCCGAGCCCTCTGCTGGGTGAGTCAGAGTCCTGCCGGGCGAGATGCAGGTCCTGGAGACCCGATCCCCATCCCTGGCCTCTGACTCTGCAGCTATAAGTGAATGTGACTAACACAGCAGGACCCTGAGTCAGCCCTGCAGAGCCTGTCCCAGGATGGGGGAAGGGTGGCTGGGGGGAGGTGGAGAGAGGGTTAGCTGCACTGGAGGACTCACAGCTCCTGGGATTTCAGAGCCCCCCGTGTGGTAGGAGGGCCGTGGGCACAGATTGGGAATGCTGGGTCCACTGGCCAGCAGTGAAATGCCAGGCACCCTTGAAGCTCTGGCCAAGTTCTCACTCTCTTTGCCTTTAGCTTGGCAGTGACCCTGGGATTAGTTGCTCCTGCCCTGCTCCAGCTAGTTCAGATTTCAGGGAGGCCGATAGGTATTTCCTTTCCCCACACCTCACTAGTGCCACAAACCACTGGGCCAAGTCTCAGATAATTCAAACATCTGGGAATCCACAAATAAATTCTATTTGATTTTGGAGCATGTAGATGAACTCTCTTTGGATACAAAGCTTGTCTGAGGCTCTTGAAGTGTGCAAGAACTGTTAAGAACATCTCTACTTCATGAAGGCTGGAAGCCTGGCTGATCTTCTGAGCTCGTCCTGTCTGACCCACACTGTCCCATCCAGCCCCCACCCCATGTCCCAGGCTGGGCCAAGGAGCCTTGATTTCTGCACGGGCTGAGGGCTGAGTGTGTCCTGAGAGGGGAGAGACAAGAGGGCTAGGCTACAGCCCTATGACATCTGACCAATTTCAGTCCAGCAATGAAAAGGGCTCCTCTAAGGTAATGAGCAACTGGTCACTGAAAGTGTTAGGGGAGCTTGGAGGCTAGTTCTCAAGGTCTGCAGAGATTCTAGATCTGGGATTGTGGGAAAATGTGTGAGGTAACATTGGTGTCTCCTTCTAACTCTGAGTCCCGGGTCAGGGCTCTGTCTAACTTGGCCCTATATTGGCTCCTATCCCTCCCCAGAGTGAGAAGAGATGGAGGGCTGGGATTAAAGGGTCTCCTTCCTGCTAGCTCCTGGAAACAGAAAAGGCTTCTTTCAACAAAGAACCGTGTAGAGAAGTCTGGATGACAATGATTTTAAGATCTAGAAGGCCTCCAGCACTCTTGGGTTAAGTCCACAACTGATGGATCTGGTGATGCTTGCCCTTTTGGGGGATGCCCTGGAGGCAGCAGAGGACAGGGTGGTCTCACTTTCTGCCCCTCAGGGCTCCCAAGTCTGAGAGAAAGGAATCCAGAAGAGAGGCGGGAGGTGAGCCCAGTGGGACCACAGATGCTGAAGCAAGCGCCAATAACAGGTGAGCCCTGGTGCTTTATTGAGCAGGTGCAGAACCAGGAAGGGGAAGTGGGATGGGGACACAGTTATGTTCCCGGGAAAAGGTTTCAAGCTGGGCTTTGCAGACGGTGTAATTAGTGTGGTTGCTGCTCCTCGTAAAGCTGTGTGTCAGCAGAGCTTGCCAAAATGGCGTCCTTAGGCATCAGGCCCCAGAAGTAAGCGAGGGGAAGAAATCTCCCAGTGTTGGGCTGGCATTGCTGAGCATTCTCGTTCGTCAGCACCTACGTGCTGACCCTGGACCGTGCACTGTGCTGCCCCGCAGCCCCGCAGCCGCACCCCAGCCTGCCCCCCAACCAGAGCTGAGCTCCAATGGCAGAGCCGTGGCCCTCACACGGGCCCAAGGAAGCGGGGGCCGAGGCTCAGCGGGGCCCCGGCAGGGCAGGAGGTCAGGCTTCCGGTCAGTCAGGGCCAAGTGTGAGCGGCATCTCTGCCCACCGTGAGCCCAAGGGCAGACGGCTACACCCCAGCAAGCACATCCTTGATGGCACTCGCGAGAGGAAAGGGCAGGTTCTGCCCACAGAAGGTGCCCCGGAAGTCGTCCAAGTCCAGGGCCCACACCATGGCGCCAGCCAGCTGCCTGTTCCTCAGGTACCGCGCCTGGTGGGGAGACCCAAGGCCGGTGTGGCTGGGTTCCCTGTGCCAGGGTGCACGTGGGCGGGGCATGCTATCTAGATGCCTCCGCAGGGAAGAGAAAAGCAGACACTGGGGACCTGAAACACCCCTGTAGCCAAGCCCCACCCTCAGTGCAGGGGGCGTCCCTCCCGCTTTTCATCTGGGGGGGTGTGGCCTTGTGAACATACCTTGTTTTTCACGCTCTCCTGGTCGTCATACGCTACCCACTGGTTGCCCTTGGTGGCATAAGGGACCTGCTGGTCACGAAATCTATGGACAGTGGCTCCGTGGAGGAAGTCACAGATCTGAACAGAGAACAAGGCAGGGGTGGCTGTGGAGCTGTGCTGAGAGGTTGCCAGTCACTGGGGGGATGCTACTCCCCAAATCTATTCCTGACCCTTGCTTCATCCTGCAGGTTGCACCTGCCCCTAGAACCTGCAGGTTTCATGCAAATTTACTTAAAACAGATGCAAATATTCCGGGGTTCTGTGGCTGCTCTGCACTGAGACTGAGGACTGGCCAAGGCAACTCAGAGCAGCAGAGGTTGGGTCAAAACAAAAGAACCTACCTCTTGGCCGTTGCTTTTTCCTGGGCTAAAAGGAAGGCCCCAACTTGGTGGCCAGAGGGGATGAAGACGTGATGTGCCTGCCCCTCCTCCTCCCGCTTCTCCAGAGTGCTAGGTCTACTGGAATTTTTTTTTTTAAAGGAGTAAACTGGGGGTGATTTGGAGGGTCAATTTCCCCAGGGCTGCTGATGCTGTGGGAGATCTTACCTTCTTCCTAGCTCATACCTCATAATAGGCAAGGATCCCTTTCTCCTTAGTGAACTGGCCTGGTATTCCTGGCCCTGAGATGGGGGCTCCCACATCTGTCTTGGAAGAGGCCAGAGTGAAGCTCCTCCCAAAAGTAGGGATACCCATCACCAGCTTATTGGCTGGAGCCCCCAGCCTCAGCATGTAGCTCACAGCGTAGTCCTGGGTGTGGAAAGGGCAGGACAGTTTGAGCAATTAGTCTAGGAGAGAAAAGGTCATGCAATTCCCACTGCTGCCTTGAAAGAAGTTCCAGATCTAGATGCATCTGGAATTCCCTTCCTTCTGGGAACTTATAATGTCAGTCTAAAAAGCACTGTACAGTTTCCATCTCAAAGAAATCCTCTTAGGTTTAGGAAGAGATGCTGTTTGGTAGTTGCAGAAATCAGGTGCCTGGCTCAAGTTTCATAGCAAGCAAATGGCAGGGCTGGACTAGACTCTTGGCTTCTCAGCCCCCATCTCTCTTTTGCTGTCTCACATCTGCCCTGTGCCTTCACCCTATAGGCCCGTCACGAGATATCTTGATTCTTTATGTAAGTATCACCTCCTCAGTTCCCACAGCCATGGAGAGTGCATGAACTTTGCGCCCCAGATTCCTCATCTGTGAAGTGGGCCCCTAACCCCTCCCTTACAGGATTACCAAGGAGTGGAGAGGCTGGTGTGTGAGCTCCAGCAGGCGGCAGGTCTCTGTGGCCCCCTCTCAGCTCCCCCTCCTTTGGGACACTCACAGCATTACTGAATCTGTCAGAACGTGCATCTTCCTGGCCTCGAAACAGGGGGCTGTGATGTCCTACTGTCTGACGCCAGGCTCCGTGAAAGTCATAGGTCAAAAGGCTGATGAAGTCCAGGTGTCTATAGAAGAGTGGAGGCAGGGCAAGGAGCAAAGTTTGAAAGCACACCACCCCAACAGGATGTGAGCAAGAAAAACAGGCAGCGTTAATCCAAAACCTGGTAGAACCCAGTGAGCAGACTAGGCTGCTGGACCTAGGCTCCTGCTCAGGGCCCCACAGGAGCGTTCAGAGCAAAACCGGACTCTTGCTACCTGCTCCCAGGACACAGCTGGGAGCTGCCCTCCAGCACACCTCAATCCCTACTCTCCAACCATAGTCATCTTTGAGAAAGCAGATTGATGTCATCAGTGACTAGCCTTGTGGGGAAAGAGCAGGACCAAAGGATGGCCTGAAACTATGATTCCTTGTAAGAGGGAGTAAGGTTTCTACACACACAGATTAGGGGTCTCCAGGTGGATTGCATGACTATGAGCTTTAGGTGTTTGGGGCAAATGATTGACAGCCACCTCATTCCCACCCTCTAAGTGATCACTGATCACTTGACCACCCTCAGTGATCAATGCAAAGAAATAGAGGAAAACAATAGAATGGGAAGGACTAGAGATCTCTTCAAGAAAATTAGAGATACCAAGGGAACATTTCATGCAAAGATGGGCACAATAAAGGACAGAAATGGTATGGACCTAATAGAAGCTGAAGATATTAAGAAGAGGTGGCAGGAATACACAGATCTGTACAAAAAGATCTCCATGACCCAGAGAACCACATGGTGTGATCACTCACTTAGAGCCAGAAATCCTGGAATATGAAGTCAAGCGGGCCTTAGGAAGCATCACTATGAACAAAGCTAGTGGAGGTGATAGAATTTCAGTTGAGTTATTTAAAATCCTAAAAGATGATGCTGTGAAAATGATGCACTCAATATGCCAGCAAATTTTGAAAACTCAACAGTGGCCACAAGACTGGAAATGGTCAGTTTTCATTCCAGTCCAAAAGAAAGGCAATGCCAAAGAATGTTCATACTACCGCACAATTGCACTCATTTCACATGCTAGCACAGTAATGCTCAAAATTCTCCAATCCAGGCTTCAACAGTACATGAACTGTGAACTTGCAGATGTTCAAGCTGGATTTAGACAAGGCAGAGGAACCAGAGATCAAATTGTCAACATCTGTTGGATCATCAAGAAAGCAAGAGAGTTCCAGAAACACATCTACTTCTGCTTTATTGACTATGCTAAAGCCTTTGACTGTGCGGATCACAACAAACTGTGGAAAATTCTTAAAGAGGTGGGAATACCAGACCACCTGACCTGATTCCTGAGAAATCTATAGGCAGGTCAAGAAGCAATAGAAACAGACATGAAATGGAACAGACTGGTTCCAAATAGGGAAAGGAGTATGTCAGGTTCTATATTGTCACCCTGCTTATTTAACTTATATGAAGAATATATCATGTGAAATGTGGGGTTGGATGAAGCATAAGCTGGAATCAAGACTGCTGGGAAAAATATCAACAACCTCAGATATGCAGATGACACCACCCATGAAGAAGAAATAAAGAGCTTCTTGATGAAAGTGAAAGAGGAGAGTGAAAAAGTTGGCTTAAAACTCAATATTCAAAAAACTAAGATCATGGCCTCCGGTCCCATTACTTCATGGCAAATAGATGGGGAAACAATGGAAACAATGACAGACTTTATATTTTGGGGCTACAAAATCACTACAGATGGTGACTGCAGTCATGAAATTAAAAGACGCTTGCTCCTTGGAAGAAAAGCTATCACCAATCCTAGACGGCATATTAAAAAGCAGAGACATTACTTTGCCAACAAAGGTCCATCTAGTCAAAGCTGTTTTTTCCAGTAGTCATGTATGGATGTGAGAGTTGGACTATAAAGAAAGCTGAGTGCTGAAGTATTGATGCTTTTGAACTGTGGTGTTGGAGAAGACTCTTGAGAGTCCCTTGGACTTCAAGGAGTTCCAATCAGTCCATCCTAAAGGAAATCAGTCCTGAATATTCCCTGGAAGGACTGACGCTGAAACTGAAGCTCCAATACTTTGGCCACCTGATGGGAAGAATTGACTCATTTGAAAAGACCCTGATTCTGGGAATGATTGAAGGCAGGAGGAGAAGGGGGTGACGGAAGATAAGATGGTTGTATGGCATCACCGACCTGATGGACCTGAGTTTGGTAATGGACAGGGAAGCCTGACATGCTGTAGTCAGTGGGGTTGCAAAAAGTCAGACACGACTGAGCGACTGAACTGAAATGATCAATTAAAGCAATTAAAGCAATGAGTCTACATGTGCCTGAGACCCTAAAAAAGATTCTAGTCAGAGTGAAGAGTCTTTGTTTCTTACTCTTGGGTTTCCTAAGATCCATGTCTTGTTCCACCAAGAAATCAAGCTGCTCGACTGGAAACTGCTCATCGCCACACACATAAGGAGGCAAGGTGAGGAGAAGGGACAGGTGGACAAGAAAGGGGAGTCCCTGCAAGACAGAGTCCCTTGAGGACTCTCCAGCGGCCTAGAAATGAAAGGTATTGTTAACTGCTGGTTTGCCCTTCCAGAGACTAGTGACTGGCTCGTTTGTATAACTTTCTCTACTTCTTTTCCCACAAACATACATTCATAACAATTTTCTCAATTGGTCAGCACAACATCCCAAGTGAAAAGGAAAGATAGGGACTATTATGCCCCTTTTGACAGATGGGAAGGCTGAGGCACAGAGAGGCAATGTGACTTGCTCAAGGTCATGCATCTCTGGAGAAATTTGGACCAAAAGCCCAGTCTTCTGATTGAATATAGACTGCTAAGGCAGAGTAGGTCAGGAGACTCACCGGGATATCTGGGCGATGTCATAGCCTCTGTCAATAGCAATCTTCCCTGCAGGCACGGCTGCGCTGAGCAGGAGCTGCTCTGTGCCTGCTTGGGCTTCCCTTACAAACTCAGCCTTCATTTCCTGGTTGGGAGAGAGGCAGGTAAGTGACAGCAAGCCTTGTGGAGAAAGATCTTTGAGCATGTCATTGGCCTTCCCTGTCTGCTGTAATCTCCAACCAGATCGGAGCTTAGTGGGAATGATAAAGTGGTCCCATCCGCAAGCTCACCCATCCTTTTCCTTAAAAAAAGGTTTGGGCTGATCTCATCCCTACACCCCATGCATACTCATCAATATTCAGTTTTTCTTTATCCTGGAGGGACCATGAGAATAGTGACCCCACTTAGTCCATAGATAGAGCTGGAAGACATTTGCTGGTTGGTCTGTGCTTTTTTTAAGCTAGTAAATGAGGACACAAAATTAAAGTGATTTCTATTGAGTGTTGTTCACTCTATTGTTCTACTCTGTTCAGTCGCCAAGTTGTGTCTGACTCTTTGCGACCCCATGGACTGCTGCATGCCAGGCTTCTCTGTCCCTCAGCCTCTCTTGGAGTTTTCCCAAGTTTATGTCTATTGAATCAGTGATGCCACCCATCCATCTCATCCTCTGTCACCCCCTTCTCCTTCTGCCTTCAATCTTTCCCAGCATAGGGTCTTTTCCAACGAGTCGGCTCTTCACATCAGGTGGCCGAAGTATTGGAGCTTCAGCTTCAGTGTCAGTACTTCTAATGAGTATTTAGGATCAATTTCCTTTAGGATTGACTGATTTGATATCCTTGCAGTCCAAGGGACTCTCAAGAGTCTTCTCCAGCACAACAGTTTGAAGCATCAGTTCTTCAGTGCTCTGCCTTCTTTCCGGTCCAACTCTCACATTCGTACATGACTACCGGAAAGACCATAGCCTTAATTACGTGGACCTTTGTTGTCAAAGTGATGTCTTTGCTTTTTAATACACTGTCTAGGTTTGTCATAGTTTTCCTTCCAAGAAGCAACCATCTTCTAATCTCATGGCTGCAGTCACCATCCACAGTGATTTTAGAGCTCGAGAAGAGGAAATCTTTCACTGCTTCCACCTTTTCACCTTCTGTTTGCCATGAAGTGATGGGACCAGATGCCATGATCTTATTTTATTTTAATGTTGAGTTTTAAGCCAGCCTTTCACTCTCCTCTTTCACCCTCATCAAGAGGCTCTTTGGTTCCTCTTTGCTTATTGCCATTAGAGTGGTATCATCACGTGTCTGAGGTTGTTGATATTTCTCCTGGCAGTCTTGATTCCAGTTTGTAACTCACCCAGCCCAGCATTTCGCATGATGTGATCTACATATAAATAAGATAAGCAGGGTGATAATATACAGCCTTGACGTACTCCTTTCTCAATTTTGTACCATTCAGTTGTTCAGATTCTAACTGTTGCTTATTGACCCACATAGCTTCTCAAGAGACAGGTAAGATGGTTTGGAATTCCCATCTCTCTAAGAGTTTTCCACAGTTTATTATGATTCACACAGTGGAAGGCTTTATTGTAGTCAATGAAAAAAAAAAAGTAGATGTTTTTCTGGAATTCCCTTGCTTTCTCTATGATCCAGCAAATGTTACTGATACTGTGAACAACTTGTTTGATTGCTCTGCCCCTAAGGTAACTAGAGATGCTTGGGCTGCCCCTAGATGGAGTCGAGTATCCCTGATTTACTGCATGCTCGGGAGTGCGCAGTGTCAGTTTGAGAATGAGTAGACGACAATGATGCTCGACTAAGTGGCAGTGAGGAGTAGGTGCTCTGGTTAGTGAATGCTGCCTCTTAGAACCCCAGCCCACCTCCCACTGTTTTTGGAGTATGTCTTCCCTGCTGTGTCAGATCTCAGGACACAGGCCTGTTTGTTTTACCTTTGGTCCAGATCTCAGGACTCTGCAACAAGGAGGCCTTAGTCTCCCTTTGCCTGCCTCAGGAGAACATGCCCGAAGATAGCTTCTGCCCTCCCAATCCTTGGTGCTCCCCACCTCCCTGCCCCTTTTCCCAACCCGACCAGCACCTTGATCAGAGCAGTGAGATGCCGCTTGTCTCTCCACCCAGGGTAGAGCCATGCTAGATCCAGTCCATCAAAGCCATGGGTCCGCAGAAATGGTGGCACTGACTTGATGAAAGTCCTGCGACTCTGGGTCTTGGAAGCTATTTTGGAAAATCTAGAACCAAAACCACAGTAATCAGCACCAAAATGCTGGGTGCCTTGGCCCTCTGGAGGGGTCTCTGGGGCATGTGCAGCTGGGAGCCTGAACCCACACAGCTATAGGAGGGCATGGTTGGGACAGGACCCACTTCTAATCATCTTATTAATAGAAAGAACATGTGCATTATAATCAGCTATCCCTGGCTCTATCACCTAGCAGCCAAGCCATCTTGAGCAGATTATAACCTGAGCCTCAGTTTCCTCATTTGGAAAACAGGAATAAGTGTAATATCTCACAGTGCTATTATGAGGATTACAAGTGATAGTGGTTGGACAGGATGCCTGACACATAGTAACCACTCAATAAATGAGAGCTGTTATAGCCATTACTTTAACTCTTTTTAAAGCTGCTCCAACTCTACCCACTCCAGGAAGTCCTCCAGGGTCTCCACTCCCAAATTCCCATTCGTTCCATCTTGCTCCTTCCAACCGTTAGGGCAGTATCCCCTCAAATTTCTTTTTCATGTCTGAGAAGTAGTAAAAAGAGCATTGGCTAGAAATCAGAACACTGGCTGCCATCTTGCTGTGTGTCTCTTGGCAAGTTCCTTCCCCTTTCTGGGCTCTGATTTCATGATTGCACATGATGCAGACTCCTGACAACCATTCATGTCCCTGTGCCTGACCATTCTGGGGTCCCTGTGACCTTCATCCCATGGGTGTAGAGAAACCTATACTTCCTCTTATCCCATAATCCTCTAGAGGATGCGTCCTACCTTTGAGGACCGAAGCTCCAGCCTCCAACAGATAGGAGGGTCTTCAGGTTGGGGTTCCTACGGGGCACAAAGAGGCAAGAAGGCTGGGGTTGAGTGGAGGTGCTGTGACATGGGGCGGCCCCATGTTCAGGAAGACATAGTAGGCTGCCAGCTTTGGATAGAGGCTGAGTCAGGCCTGCAAAGCCCTCCCGGCCTTGAAATTCGCTATTCTAAGATTTCCTAAGTGTTTGTGGCACTTATCCTGAGAGGTGTTGCCCATTTTTCTTCCCTCCAGTGGGGAAGCCATGATATGGCAAAATAGAACCATGAATATTTTCTCTGTGGAGCAGCACCTTCAGGGGACAGAGAGAGTTCCTTCTCCCAGGGGAGTTCAGCTATGCCTTTTTCTGCAGGCTTCTTCTACACCCTGACCTCTGCCCTCATCACTTCCTCCCATTTGAGCCAAGGCCCTCCAATTCTCCACCCAGAAGTGAGTCCCGGGGACCTTGCCCATCCCCTTGAGCAGGCGTACTCTACCCTGAAACCAGCCCTCCTAATCCCCCATCTTTCTCCTGCCCTAGCTAGTCAGTGGCCCAACCTGTTCTTGAGTGTGTTCAGCGTGTCATAGAGCGTCACATCATTCCACTCCCAGGTGTCGATCTCATTGTTGCTTATGTTGGCAAAGCTGTAGATGATGTGGGTGCACAGCAAGGGGTCGATGGCATCTGGGAAGCAGCTCCCATCACCCTCCCGGTACTGGGACCAGCTGGTGTAGTAGCAGATCAGCTTGTATGCAGCACCTGAGGAGAAGGCTAGGGTGGGCCCTGGGTCAAGGTTGAGCCAGGGACCCTCTGGCTGAGCCCTAAGTTGAGCACCAGTGGGGTTTGAGGGAGAGGTGGAATGGATGGGTAGAATTGTGAGCAAAGTGAAAATTCTCAGTGAAAGGACTGGCTCAAGGGAGTTCTCTGTCTGGTGAAAATAAAACCTATTTTGAAAATGCTTAGGAAAGATCAAACATGGTAGGTAAATATACTGCAGACTAAGAACAGAACACTGGGTGGAGGGAGGGGGCTCTGATGAATAAAGATGAGATGGGGCTTGGTGCAAGTAAGGAGGGTTTCCTGGAGGCTTTGAAGGAGAGGAGTGACCTAGCCCCAAACAGCCAGTATTAGAAGACCTTTGCCTTTACGGAGTCCTTGATCTGAGAGGCTCTGGCCTGTCTCTTTTCTGCCTTCATGGGGGAGGTACCCTAACTTGTAACCCACCCAGAATGGCAGTCTCCGGGCCTCAGTCCATCCCCCTAGCTGGCACACAATAACCCAGTGGACCGGAAAGTTCCCTCTCTCTTCTTTTTCTAATTTCTGCTGTTTCGGAGCCAGCCTCTTCTGCCCTCTTGATTGTGGAGGAAGACGAGCGGGCATCACTCATCCACGCTGTTCCTGGGCTCCCGTTAGTGGTTCCCACTAGGCTATGAGTTGAAGCCTTCATTGAAGCTAAACCTTTAAAAGTTTTTAATTTTGAAAAATGTTAAATATACAGAAAAGTAGAGAGTAGTATAATAAACATCTATATACTCATCACCTTGGTTTAACAAATGCTAATATTTCTGAGCCACTTGAATCATAGAAGAAACTGGGGAAAAGTGCCAAGGTCCCTTCCATACAGCCCTCACCACGCCCCCACTTCCCGTGACTTAAAAGAAGGTTACTTACAGCTCTGGAGCAGCACCAGGACCACAAAACCTGAGGGTAAATCCAGGGTGAGACCCCCTGCAAGCACCTCTGGCCCTCCCTCTTGCTCCCTGCGCCCGCCCCCGCCGCCTCCACGGAATCCAGGGCCTCCTCACACCAGACACCTCCTCTCTCTCCCCTGGCTCGGCACCGCCCCTTCTCCCGCCCACTGCCTCTCCCCTCAGCAGTGGAGGCCACCCTCTGCAGGCACTAGCTCTGTGTGGCCAACCCAGAGACCTGTCCGAGCCGCCCTCAGCCCCATCCTGGCCGCGGCAGAGGAGGGCATGGCGTGGCCTCTTCCTCTGCCTTCAGGTTCCCGGTACCCAGCTGCCTGAGCAGGACGCTTCCTGGGCCTCCAGCTTCCTCTTATACGTACCCCACACCACTCCCCTGCAGCGCAATCCTCCACTTACAGGAACGGAGCTGCGTGTCAGTGAAGGAGCTGGCAGACTGTGAAGTGGCGGGGGAGGGGCGCTGTGGGCCACTAGAGGCGGATTGGGAAACCGTGGACAGTCTTGAAAACTTGGGCCAGGTCTTCCTGAGGCATCTGCCGGTAGAACAGCCATTAGAGGGATGATCTGGGGGCTCCTGGGGCCAGTGACTCAGCCTCCCACTCACTTTTCTCCAAAAGTCAGCAGTTCCCCAGCTTTTCTGACAACCCCTACCTTTGCCTCTCCAGCCCTCCCTCCAGGCCTTTGGCCAGGCTGAAACTGGGCACAATTGAATTCTGCAACCCACAGCACCTCCAAACAAGGCTGTTATTTTTTCTCTCCCGACTCCAGCATCAGCCTGCCTGACCTCCTCTCCTCCTCTCCAAGCCTGTTTCCCATAGCAGCCTGAAGGTCAAGGTGAGGGCCAGAGAGCCTTTCACCAATTGAGGATTGTTTAACAAGAAAAGCTAGAGAGGAGTGGGAAGTTGCTGAGCGGCACTCTGAGACCTGCTCCTGCTTTCCTTCCTTTTGAAATGCCAGTTACAATGAATGAGAAAGAATTTGGCAAGTCTGGGGCTCCGGTGAATTACCAAGAAGTAAAAATGCAGACAGCTCAATTTCCCCCAGGGAGCAGATAATCTCAGAAGAGCAATAATCTCCATTCCCTCAGCTCCTCTCTTTTGAAGCCCAAGTGTAATGATACCACCCCTTTCTAGATAGGTTGGTGATTTTTTTTTTTTTTTTGGTCACTCTTCAGATAAGAACAAAACTTCTTAACAAGGCTCTGCAAGATTTGTCCTACTTGTGGATACATTTTGAGCCAAAGATCCTGGACGACTCCATTCTTCGTAGGCTATAAATTAATTAATAGGCAGGGAGTGAAAATTCAGAACTCCAGTTGCTGGAATAGGTCAGAGGGCTTCTGGATAGATATCTTTACTTTTGCACTAACATTAGGTACTAATCCGATGTTAGCCACACTGGCTTCACAGCCCTCTCTTGGTGAGGTCTGTCCCTCTGTGCCTTTTTCTTCCTTCCTCTCCCTGTAAAACTGAAACAACGCTTCACTGAAAGAAACGGTCAGAGAGCAGTTTGTCCAGAGTCATACTCCTGAATACTAAAGGATCATTGTAGTGGTTTAGTCGCTAAGTTGTGTCCAACTCTTGCGACCCCATGGACTATAGCCTGCCAGGCTCCTCTGTCCATAGCATTCTCCAGGCAAGAATACTGGAGTGGATTGCCATTTCCTTCTCTAAGGGATCTTCCTGACCCAGGTATTGAACCCAGGTCTCTTGTATGGCAGGAAGATTCTTTACCAACTGAGCTATAATGGAAGCCCTAAAGGGTCATTGCTTCACCCTTTTAAGGCGAATAGCCTTCTTTTGTACCCTAGATAATTGACGGAAATGATAGTTCATAATAACCTTTCTTTGTTTGGGGCACTGGGAAATAGACTTCTTCTAATGTCTAATAGAAATATTACAGTGGCAGGTATGTAAAAATTTTCATAACAGGGTGCAGGATGTTAAGAAAACACCTACTTTCAATCTTTTCCTTTGTTAAAAATTATTTCATAGGCTTAGATTGGCCCAGGCTTTATCCTGTGCTCCCCTAAGCCCAGTTTATTAGTTCCACATGTCCTGCATGAAAGTGGCTGTCCTAAAAAGTGGCCAAGACATTCCCTGGGGCTGCCCCAGGATGACTGGCTGAGGGTCCCAAGGCACCTCCCAACCTCATCTCATGTCCTGTCCCCTTCACCCCCCATAACCCACCAGTGGAAGCACAGAACTTTCACTGCTGGATCGCCAAGGAAGTCCCAATGCCTTCTTTCTTGTACTTTCTTATATTTGCTCTGCTCTCTTCCACCACACGGCTTTTGTATATGCCGTCTACTTGCCTGTCAATAACTATGAAGGGCCTGAGATTTTATACTCCTTGCAAGCTAATGAGATAGACAGCCACAGCCTCATGGATTCTGGCAGAAAACACAGAACTTTAGGGCAGAGACAAAGGACTTTTCATGTCATAACAAGGAGCATGAACTTCATGTTTGCATCATTTCTTGTGATGAGGCAGCTATTTTGAGTTGCTGCCTAAGCATTTTACAGTATGACAACTCTACTCACACCCAGAATCTGGCAATTTAGATAAGAACCTGAGTTTAGGATTCCAGCCACAAGGTCCTGCTTTGCATTTCCCCGAGCACCTTTTAAAATACATTTTTAAAGTTGAGTCCTTGAAAAGTAAGTGGTGCTCCTCAACCACCTTATAAGTAAAAGATGCTTGCTCTCTGTCTCCTGCTGGCTTGTGACCTAGGACAGAGCACTTCTCCTACCCCCAGCTCATTGCACAATTCCCTCCTCTGTTTCTGGACTCTGTAAGTAATCCTGTCACTTTACTTTCTTTGTGTATTGAAACTGTGCCTTCAATCAAAACAGCCCCAGGGTTTTCATTTCCCCAAAGTCAAAGCTGATAATGAAGGAGCCACCTGCCCACCCTATGCGTATGGCTTGTGCCTCTTCCTTCTGCAGGTCATAACCTGCATATTCTCAACTTAACACACTTACTCATCCTTCAGATTGCAGCTCAGCAAGCATCTTCAGAAAAGGCAGACTCCCCTGTGAGGGAAAATCCCTACTGGGACTGTCAGAGTACTTTGTACCTCTCTTCCTAGCACATGATTCTGTTACAATTTTATATCTTGTGTGTAAGTGAGGATGTCATTAATGTCTGCCTCCCTCACTAGTCTATAAACTCAGTAAAGGCAAAGACGGGGTCCTGTTTTACTCACCTTTGTGTTCATCCCTAGTGCCTAACACATAGTAGATGCTTAGTAAAGTATTTATTAAGTGACTGAATAAATGAAGAAGTGATCTCAGGATGGTACAAAACTCCAAACTCTTCTGCTCTGAGTTTGGAACCTGAGGTGCTAGAAATTTCATATTTTTCAACAGTTATGTCCCCTTGTGAATAACCAACTCGGGAGGTACAATGAAATCCCAAAGAAAGCGCCCTGACAGTTTTTTCCTGTTCCAATCATTGTAATCCCTCAGTCTGCTCTTATCATTCATATACTCATTCAACCAGTGCTAACTGAACACTCACAGTTGCCTTGTGCTGTGGGAGGTGCTGGAGGCAGAAAACTGAGTGCAAACAAAGAATCAGTGCCTGTCCTCATGAAGTACGTGGCCTGGCAAAGAATAGACGTTAAACAACGGCTTATATAAATCAGTAATTTATTACAACCTTGAGAAGTTCAACAAAGTACTTCTGAGGGTTAGGAGACTTTATAAATGCTGTGGGTGGTCAGGGAAGTCTTCCTTGGGAAATGATGTTTCAGTTGAAAGGGGAAGAACAGGTGCTAACCTGGCAAAAACATATGAGGCAGGAGAAACAGAAAAAGCCCGTGGTGGGACTAGGCTGCCATGTTTCAGGGTCCGGATGGATTTAAGAGGTTGAAGCATGAAGTAGGGTAAGGGAGGCACCTTGGTGGCCCAGACAGTAAAAAATCTGCCTGCAATGCAGGAGAACTGTGTTTGATCCCTGGGACAGAAAGATCCCATGGAGAATGGATTGGCTAACATAACAACTCCAGTATTTTTGCCCAGAGAATTCCAGGGACAGAGGAGCCTGGCAGGCTACAGTCCATGGGGTCACAAAGGGTAGGACACTACTGAACAACTTTCACTTTCTTTCTTTCACTTTGAAGAACAAAGAAGGGCAAGGGAGGCACAGATAAGGCTGGATCAGGAGGCTGTGGGCAGACAGAACCAGGTCAGAGGACAACTTTCTGGATCCCAGGGATAGCCTCTCAGGCATAACTGTTTTGAGGTCCTTTCCTTTTGCATGGAGCATCAGAACAAATGAAGGTGATGTTAACATCCTACCAAATATTTGAGGGGAAGTTCTTTATTCACAGGGAGGTCTCTTCATTTCCAAATCCTCAGCTCCAGCACATAGTAAATGCTGTCAAAGACTCAGAGACAGAAACATTTGGACAAATAAACAATTGCAAAAGTAACTTCAGAAAGAAAGCTTTGTTAAATACAAATCGCAGTAAGTATTTAAAAGTGAAAAAAGATGACTAAGGCTACCATGTTCATGGTAGAAGTCAGCAACTTTCTACATGTCCATCATATTCAGTTTATCTTCACTTGTTAGCATGGTAAAAATCAAGGAGAAAATAGTTTTTGTCAAATAGTCTATATTTATGAGAAATAGTCAGAATTTATTACTCTGGAGTCTGACACCAGTCAGGATAGCCTGTTGTTTTTGATTTATTGCCATATAATGAACTTCTGTCTGGAGGCTTGTGAAACTCCTGGGCTGGGAATTACTTTTCTGTGTCAGAGAAATTTTACCATCCTTAGTAGCACTATTTTCTCTTAAATTCCAATATTTGTTAATATGTCTGCCAGTAAATGAAATTTTGGAATTTCACAAGTCATAAAGCTGTCCCAGAAAAGTTTTCCTGGGAAGACTTCATAGATGTCAGCCTTACATGTAAAATGTAATCTTTGTTCCTTTAAAAAGGGCTTATCACACCTAATTAAGTGGAATTTTTCTTTTTAAATTGTGCTAATGATATATCAGCTTATAATATATTTTAAGATCACTCAGGGATTATTTTTTTTCCTTTTGAAATCTGAAAGTTCAACTGGGACAAAATGACATTCAAACTGTGATTCAGTAGGCTCTAAAGTATAAAAATAAACACTAGATTTAAAATAAAACTGAAGACAAAGAATTTAAAATATAAGCTATCTGTAATATTTTTTTGCATTGATTATATGTTGGAATGTTAATATGATGGATTAAATACGGTTAAATAAAACATATTATTTAAAAAATTAAG